ATATATATATATATATATATATATATATATATATATTATACATATTATATATATATATAATAAAAATTGAATAGGAAATTTATGACAAATTTATAACAAATAATTGCGAATTTACAGCAATATATAAGTATTTATTATATATATATGTATATATTGCTACAAGTTAGCTAAGAATGTTGCTATAAATTATATGTTATTACTTATTGCATTTTTAATATATATTGCACTTACATTGTTGAGTGGCAAATCATAAAGTTGATGAAACGTTACTGTTAACTCTGGTGTTTACTGGGAATTCGCTAATAATTAAACAGCAACTTCGCCCCGGTCAGACCGAGAGCACTGCGCGCGCGATTTTCGAGATACCGAGGATATCTGTGATTGACGCACGGCACACGTACACACGCACACACACGCACACACGCACATCATGCGTGCTGTGTCGTAACAGTCGGCTTACATACGAGATATACGATCTTCTCTCGGGGAGAACAGCGGAAGCTGAGAGACAGACAGAGTGCTCCTCGTCGGTACACGTCGTGATGATTTAACGATTTTCTTACCTTATGCGGCTATTAGCGTGCGACCCGCGACGAAAACGACGTCGCGGGCGGAGCGTCGTTAGCGATGCGAAAGAGCGAAGGTGTATCCGATTGATGCAAAAAGTTCGTCGGGCCGGCTCGAAAGCGAGACCGGCCACTTGCGAGAAGCGATTTCAACGGCTAAACAGTTGGATTAAATTCAATTCGGCAATTAACTGGCGAATAACGAAGTCGCACTATTAAGCTCGCGGAAACTCGAGCTCTTACACTTGTGAGAGAAAAAGTATCTGAAAAATAAAAAGCATCTGTTCGATGGATGCGAATAACGTATTTACTTAAATCGAAATTCTTTTATTTAAGCGTAGAATATAAACAATTGCTTTCACACGCGAAAGTGCTGATTTGAGAAAATGTATAATTTCCTTATCCGAGAAAAACATTTTTCCACAATGTGAAAATACGTATATCGGTGTAAGTAAATGTGTTATACCCACCGAATAAATATTTTCTTTTTATTTCTTAGATATTTTCTCTCGGTGAGTGAAGTGTTTCTTTCCTTAATTTTATTTATTTCCCTTCGCAACAGACTTTTTTCACCCGGCGAGACGCGTCTTTCTTAAAAATCTCCAGAATTGTACCTTACGTTCCTACCAACGTGGTTTAACAAATCAATATCTCCGATGACATTCGGTTAATCTAAGTTTAAATAGTGGTTTCTACCGGAAGTTTCACTGGAAGGAATGCGTTACATTCGAGTAAATATTTGCCAGAGAACGTTGGAGCGATTATTTTATCTTAAATAAATCTTACCTCGAATGTAGCACCTTTTCCTTTCTATGTGTTACGTTCAAATAATTTACTTGATCCAGGTAAAACAATCACTCCGATATTCCTCAGCAAATGTTTACTTAAAAGTAACTCCTTTTCCTTTCCGTGAATCGACTTTTGACGAGTTTTCCCGACCACGTTGGTAGAAACGAGCGTTTTAAAGCGTGACCTGAAGCGCGGAATTCCCACGAGAGGACAAGCTTCTTGCACCAACTTGACACGTGCACGCACACGACACGTACGCACGCACGCACACACATCATGCATACACGCCCACACGCACACGTACACGCACATACACACGCGTATATGTACATATTAAATTAGTTTATTAACCTTTTTTCTCTCTTTACACAATTGTTACACTTCATCCGCCGCACCACGGGGAAAGGGCGCGAACGATGACGCGCGGGCGGGGGGTGGGAGGTAAAAGGGAGACTCCGTGGATGAGATGTCGCGAATGAGGGAGCAGCTTTGTTTCGCTCGAAAGAGCAAGCCACTTCCCGTTCAGTTTCTTTACAACAGTAGCGACATAGTTTTCTCTCTCTTTCTTTCTCTCAACACGTCATCGTTATTATTATTAAAATCAACCCGCATATGCACATATATATGCAGATCAACGATATTTTATTTTATACATATACGTAATTTTTTTTTTATATATTTTGATACAGATCGATCGCAGGATTCGTTCGTTTCCGACGGGTTCTTCTTTCTTCCTTCTTCCTCTCTTTCTCGACGAACGAGAAAGAACGAACGAATCCCTCGGCCGATCCCGATATTTTAATTGCATAACTTTCAGTATTTTACACTAGCTCTCCTCCCGCATCGACTTCCCTCGAAGGTGTTGCTGTTTTCCGTCGCGTCAAGACGAGACGCGCGAGAGCGGCACACGGAGTATGAGAGAGAAAGAGAGAGAGAGAGAGAAAAAGAGAGAGAGAGAGAGAGAGGAATTAATGTAAACCAAATCGGTGAATTCGTTTATTAATAATAATAATATTAATAATAATAATAATCACGATAAATAATCAACAATCTATGTTCAAGCCGTGCGACTCGATATTTATGCGTAGAGCGCATGCGCGCGCATTCGGGACGATTGATGACCGCTTCGCAGCGCGGATTCGCATTCGAGATCTCTGTCTCTCTCGCGCGGATCCCCTGAATTCTCCGGGCGTTTCGACTCGGCGGCAAGTAGCCACGCCTACGAAGTAGTGTTGTTGTATAGTTGGGGGGTGGAAACCGGTGTGAATCGTCGAAAGTGGAAGAAACGTCGACGCTGTGCTGCAGTCGGCGGAGAAGAGCCCCGGGTGGAACAGAAAATCGCGATGATGTCAAAATGACGAGAAAATGACCGTAATAATGCACTTCTCGATCACGATTCAATCATTTCCTCGTCATTTTGACGTTATTATTATTTTACATGCCACCTGGGTCGCCTCTGCGATTCGAGCACTCGCCAACGGGGTAACTTTTTCCCAGAAGCGGAACCATGAAAAGTTTCACATTCTCATTGTTCGATCCCCAGAAGTTACACGATCGCCAAAGTCGTCGAACTCATATGAAACTTTTCACTTTCCCGCTCTCGGGGAAAAAATCGCACGATCCTTGACGGAAAACTTCGCCCGTCCCGAGGGAGGAACGAGTTTTACGATCTTTCTTTCCGTCCGTCGACCATCGTCTCCGGGCGGTACAAAATTCCAGAGCTCGTATTGATAATTGTTGCTTAAAACTTGTCCCAAGTGAGATACTCGGATTTGAATCATCCGGGTGAATCGCAATTACAAATAGAGTGTTACGTGCGTTGTAACATTTGACCGAAAAGCTCAGACCTAAATTCGGATCTGAGTATCTCACGCAGAACGAAGTTCAAGTAACGATTATTGATGCGGCCCCAGAAGATGTCTGGAGGGATGTGGGGCATCTCTTGGACAGCGTCGAGTCTGCGAGGATTTCGCATCGTCGTATTATCTACGAAGACTGCGGATCGTAATTACAAAGATCTATAAATATCATTATTACGCGCCTGGACAGCGACTGGACGGGGATCACACCGGTTTCGATTCTGCGGTCTATCGTCAAAGAACAAAGGAACGCGACACGCGCTGATAATGTTTCCGCGCTCTGTTATCGACGATAACTCGCTCTGTATGCGATCAACGAAAAAGATTGACATTGGGCTAGCCAGCTATCTCTTTCTCTCCCTTTTGTCGAAGCTCGCACGAATGAGCCGCCCGAAACGATTGGATGATCGCTTCCTCCTTCTCCTCTCTCTTCTTCAAACGCTTATATAAACGGCATAAAGTCCAAAATGCTTGAGAGCAGCGACTAACAAATTAAATTCTGCTTAAACATACTCGACCTTAACTCTCGCGATATTTTTTTCCCTCTTCTCGGCCTCTCGAGAGCCCGTCCAATCGCCGGCACTCGACAGATTTGAAAAAAAAAAAAAAATAATAAGCGTCGGCGATCGTCTCAGTCGTCTTGAGCGACGTGTTTTTTTTTCTCCTCTTTTAATCTGTACATCGATTTGTTCGCGTCATTACGAGTGTCCGACGTCATCGACAGTTCGATCGTTCTCTCTTCTGCTCTTTTATTGTTCAATCTGACGAAGAGCTTGGCTGCTGATCGCTACCACTATTACTACCGTGGATACACGCATGTCCCAAAATTGCACGAAGTCGCCGGAGAAAGAAACGATTCGCAGGAGCGCGTGTCACAATCGGAGAGCGTCAGAATAGCAGTCGGAGGGGTGAAACTTTGTCAGCGTTGTCTGTCGCGAGAACATCGCTCGAATGTAACGATTCCTCCTTTTGATTTCGGCCTCATTCTCGTCTTCTTTTTTTTTGTGCTTCTTAACTACCGTCACGTTTTTCTTTATTCTTCGAGATCGGAAAACACGTTCCGAGAAGCGCGTCCTACTGATATTATCCTTTTTGCAGAACCGATTGAGGGACAGTCGGGGGGGG